CTTTGAATCTAAAATACATCTTTTATTGACAGTTTGTATTTGGATTTTTACAACCTGAGAATTTCTATCTTTTGATTGAATTTTAAAATCAATTTCTATTTTTTGGTTATTATTGATATACATTTGGTCCTCTATATCAGCGAATTCTGCATCCATGAGTTTAACAAACCATCAGTCAAAAGTAGGGGAAAAAATCATGTCTGTACTGAATATGTACAAACTTTTCCTTTTCATTATCCCCTGAACAGTACAAATTGGTGACTATTTACATAGCATTTTCACTGATTATATACTATATGCAGTTTAGTAATGTTTTAAAGCATATGGGAGGATGTCTATTATATATAAATACTAAGCCCTTTTATATAAGGGACATGAGCATGCACAAATTTTTGTATCTGAATTCTTAGGGATTCTGAGGGATGACTTAGAATGTACAAAATGTTTTGTACAGTTGAATTTACAGCTACCATTTTACTTTTTGTTTTCTATCTTACAACTTTTGAATCACTCTGTTTTATTTCTGCCTTTTGCATGAAATGAATTTATTTAACGTTTTAATTCTTCCAATGATCATTTCATTTTATTTTCCTGGTAGTTCCTTTAGGACTTACATAGTGAATCTTATAATCTATTTTAGATTTATACTTTATTAACTCCAATCAAATATGGACAGGTTATTCATATAGCCCTGTTCTCTTTCTCCATTTTTGTCTCATTTTTAAAGTACATATCACTTTTGTATTTTGTATATTTTTTTGCTGTATACATTAATTTATTTTATTTTTTATTTTTTAAATTTATATATGAATGTATTACAATTCTTATTACACATATAGAGCAAAATTTTTCATATCTCTGGTTTTATACAAAGTATATTTCATACCAATTCCTATCTTCATTCATGTACTTTGGATAATAATGACCATCACATTCCACCATCATTTCTAACCCTATGCCCCACTCCCTTCCCCTCCAACCCTTCTGCCCTATCTAGAGTTCATCTATTCCTCCCATACTCCCTCTCCCTACCCAACTATGAATCAGCCTAAGCATAACAATGTGTTGTTATAATTGTTACTTTATATAATATGTTGTCTTTTGAAGAAGATGAGACAGAAAAAGGTAGCAAGTATATATTTGTAGTTGTTATATTATTCATTACTTCTACTTCATTTCTTTTATTAACTGTTGTCATTTCCTTACCCCAATATAGATTTGTTCCTTTGTCTCACTTTGCTTTCTTGTTAAAGATATATTTCTGTATGCTACAGGCAGTCCCAGTAATACAGTTATGTACAGATGGAATTTGTACTTTTGCTTGTCAAATTGTTTGGGAAAAGAAAGGAAAATAATTTTGCCTTTTTATTCTCTTTTGCAATTACCTAATTGCCTTTACCCACAAATTTTATGCATTTGAACGAGTGTTTGGAATCACTTGTTTTCAGCCTAAAAAACTTGTATGTCTTTTATGGCTGATGTACTAACAATGGAAACTTGAGTTTGTCATCCTACTTCTTCTGGTCTCTACTGTCTCTGATGAAAAGTCTGTTGTTACTCTTATTCTTTGTATGTGATGAGGTGTATAATTCTTGATGTCTACAGTATTTTTTCTTTGTGAACAGATTTGTGTGTTTTGGGGCTTTCATTTCTTTGAATATTTTTTCTGCTGCTTAGTTTTTCCTCACTCCTGATACTTCCATTATGAATATATTGGGGGAGTTAATGAGATTCCTCAATTTTTTGAGACTATCTTCATTCTTATTTGTCTTTATTCTTTTGACTATTTATTCTCAATTGTTCCACTTTCAAGTTTACTGATTCATTGTTGGTTTGGTTCAGGGACAGCCGAGAAGAGGACCATCTTATATTTAGAATTTGATTCTTGGGTAGATCTGACACTACAACTAGGAAAGGATAGGAGAGTTTTCAGAATTACAGTTAAAGAATATAATGTATTATTTACATGTATTGTTAATCTCTCATTCCACATGGAATGCAGGTACAATAAAAACAGAGATTGCCTGTTTTTCTTACTGTTGAATTTCCCTTTTCTTGATCCAGGCTTGTCATGAAGTAAACACTCAGAAATGTGAAGGATGTTGGTATTGTAACAAATGAAAACAAAAAATAAAAATAAATAGCCCAATTAAAACAAAAACTGATTAAAAGGGGTGAACAAACATTTTTCACAAGTGTATATACAAATGGATATAAAAACACTAAAAGATGTGAAATTGCATTTTTAATAGAGAAATATCATAAGATCAGAGTTAACTACTACTTTGTACTGTTGTTGATAATATGTAGTAGTGGGAATTCTTATATAATGTTGTAGCTCAACCACTTTGGAAAAACAATTTGGAAAACAATTTATTATCTTGAATAGTTGAATAGTGTTTTATTGAGCCTTTTTGCTGCTGTGACCAAAAGACCTGACAAGAACAATTTTAGAGAAAAAGTTTATTTGGGGCTCACGATTATAGAGTTCTCAGTTCATAAATGGTTAACTTCATTGCTCTGGGCCCCGAGGTAAAGCAGAACATTATTGTGGAAGGGCATGGAGGAGGAAGGCAACTCAGAACATGGCCACCAGAGAGCAGAAAGTGAGTTCTCTCATCAAAGACAAAACATGTACCCCAAAGACACATACCCCCCATGACCTACTTCCACCAGCTGCACCCTACTTGACTACAGTTACCACCCAATTAATCCCTGTCAGGGGATTAATGCACTTATTAGGGTAAGTCTCTCATAACCCAGTCACATAAATAAATTCCTTTTGATTTAGTTTTATACTTTATATTTGGGATAACTTTTGCATCAAACTATGAAGAACATTGCATTTTTAAAAAAGTATGTCATTGTTAATCTATCATAGATACTTTTTGAATTATAGTGAAAACATAAAACTACCTTAAGATTTCTGTTAAAATATAGTTTTCCCTGTTCAACCAAGAAGGAAGAGAAGGTAGATTAAATTTATCCTTCCATCAAGTCTGTCAGACATCAAGTTGCAGTTCAAGAATATAGTATACTATTTACATATATTGTTCATCTTTCATTCTGCATGGAATGAAGGTATAATAAAAACAGAGATTTTGCCTGTTTTTCTTACTGTTGAATTTCCATTTTCTTGATCCAGGCTTGTCATTCAAGTAAACACTCAGAAATGTGAAGGATGTTGGTGTTGCAACAAATGAAAACAAAAAATAAAAATAAGTAGCCCAATTAAAACAAATATATGAAAAAATATATGAATCAATGAATGATTTTTCCCAGAAAGTTTTTCCACATTCATTATACTAAAAGCATTTATCTCCTGTGTGTACCCTCTTGATGTTAAGCAAGGTGAGACCTCTCCCCAAAAAACTTTCCCATATTCATTACATTTCAAAGTGTTTTTCTCCTTTTTCTGAAGTTATAAGAGACATAACTTCCTCCCAATATTATTCCCACATTCGTTATGTCCACAGTATTTACCAGTAGCCCATTTATGTTAGAAAGAGGTTAGCATCCCACAGGATTTCTCATAAATACTTAAATCTACTGTGATTCGCCTCTGAGGTAGATATGTGAGGAATTATCACAAAAAGTTTTTTTTGAGAATGTGGATCAAGTCTTATTTCTAGGAAGTTTTCTTAGATTGAAAATTTCAAATATTTGGTGTATTGTGTTTTTTCCTCTTTAGGGACTCCTATGTATATATTTAGTTGCAAACTATCTTATTCATCCTGGCCTATTTTTTTGATCCAGTTTTCTTTCTTTAGACTTATTTTGATAATACTTCTCTTTTTCCTCTCCATTCAAGCTCTTTTTCAATATTATTTATTAAAATTTCAATCTTTTTTTTTCCTTGGTGTCTGCATTAATCTTCTTGGGTTATTATTTGATTATACCACAGATTAGGTATCTTAATCTATTTTTATTTTCTCACAACTGTAGAGGGTTCCCCAATATGAAGGTGCCATCAGAATTGCTTTCTGAGGAGTTACCTTTCCTTGGTGCACAGATGTCATCATCTTGGTGTGTCTTCTTGTATGCTTTTCTCTGTGTGGTAGATGGAGTGTGTGAGAGAGACAGAGAAAGAGAGTGCATGTGCACTGAAGGCTTTCCTTGTCTTGGTCACCAGCACCATCAGGTTAGGGCACCATCTTTATGACCTCATTCATATAACCTTGATTACTTCCTTAAAGGTCCTATCTTTAAGGAAGTAAAGATAACCAGTTACATTGTAGGTCACCATAATTTAGTCCATAACAGGTTTCTTGTAATTTGAGTGGTAATTTCTCTAATCACTTTGTCCTTCATAAAGTTTTATTCTTGACTTTAATAAACCCTTGCCTCTTTACTTTTTATCCACTCCATGTTCATTCTCTTGGATTTCCTAGTAGTTGAAGCTCTGATCCACCTGGACTCAGACATTTTCTTATTATTTTCCCACTCACAGAAGAACTTTACCTTTCTGGGAGTAATTATGATTCATCATTTCTGGGTTCTCTGTCCATCTTTACTTGTGATTTTCTTCATATATGTGGGCTCTCAATTATTCTGTTTTTGAAATTTTATTTCCTTTCCTCGTGGTGAGTTGAAGGAACTAGCATTTTCTGTCTCCTAGTTATGCTAAAATCATGCTGTTATAGCTATGATATAGGTAAATCATGCTGTTGGCTCTCCTTGTGTCATATATGTGTTTTAGAGAATGCATGCAGAGATTCAGATTATTATTCATACATTGGAAACCAAATGTATGTATTCAAATAGCCAGATTCTTTTCCCTTCTTCTGCTTTACCAGAACTTTTGTTTACTTTTTTCACCACAAAGCCATGTAATAGAAGAAAAAATGCACTGCAGTTATATCAATCCCTGGAAATAGGGAAAAAAATCCACAATCAGCATTAACATAAAACATTTATATAGAGATCTTGAGGTCTTGTTCCATCAAAAATGTATTGTTAGAATTTAAGTGGTAAGTAAGATTAATTTTCCTTATTTCTAGAACTTTGGAAAGCTGATTATCTGAAGGAGCAGAGCCAAGAAGATTTGTGGAAAGTTGTATTCATCAGTAACAAAATGCTGATGAAGGAACAAGGTAATATAATAGGAAGGCCATTTGACTTGGACATAGATTCTTTTCCTTCCAAGAAAATACTCTGTCAGTGTGACTCAGAAGGAAGAAGTTTCAACAATATTTCCAAATTGATTATTAGTAGGAAAAAGTACTTAAGAAAAAAGCCTGATGAACTTAATGCCTGTGGGAAATTGCTACTCAAAATTAAACATGAGAAAACTCATACTAGAGAGAAAATTGAATTTTTTAGAAATAGGAGTACTTTCAGCCATTACAAGGGAGAGAAGATTCAAACCTTAGAGCAAACTTCTGAGTATAATATATATCAGGAAACCTTCCTTGAAAAGACAATATTCAACACATACAAGAGAGAGAACATGGAAGAGAATTACTGTGAATATAGTGAATATGGGAGAATTTTTTGTGGTAATTCATCTCTCTTGTTCCCTCACATATCTACTTCAAAGGAGAATCACTATGGATTTAGTGATTATGAGAAATCCTGTAGGAAGCTAACCTCTTTCAAATATGATGGGCTACCTGTAAAACACTGTGATGAATATAATCAAAATGGGAATAACTTCAGGAGGAGATTATGTCTCTCACAACTTCAGAAAACTGATAAAGGAGAGAAAGACTTTGAATGTAATGAATGTGGGAAAGCATTTTGGGAGAAGTCACACCTCACTCGACATCGGAGGGTACATACAGGAGACAAACACTTTCAGTGTAATGAATGTGGAAAAACTTTCTGGGAAAAATCAAACCTCACTAAACATCAGAGATCTCACACTGGAGAGAAACCCTATGAATGCAATGAATGTGGGAAAGCCTTTAGTCACAAATCGGCCCTCACACTACACCAGAGAACGCATACAGGGGAAAAACCCTATCAGTGTACTGCATGTGGGAAGACTTTTTACCAGAAGTCAGACCTCACTAAACATCAGAGAACACATACGGGGCTGAAACCTTATGAATGTTATGAATGTGGGAAGTCCTTTTGTATGAATTCACATCTTGTAGTACATCAAAGAACTCACACAGGCGAGAAACCCTTTGAATGCCTGGAATGTGGGAAATCCTTTTGTCAAAAGTCACATCTTACTCAACATCAGAGAACGCATATAGGGGATAAACCCTATGCATGTAATGCTTGTGGGAAAACTTTCTATCATAAATCAGTACTTACCAGGCATCAGATAATTCATACAGGATTGAAACCTTTTGAATGTTATGAATGTGGGAAAAACTTCTGCTTAAAGTCAGACCTCACAGTACATCAGAGAACTCACACAGGAGAGAAACCCTTTGCATGTCCTGAATGTGGCAAATTCTTCAGCCATAAGTCAACCCTTTCTCAACATTATAGAATACATACGGGAGAGAAACCGTATGAATGTCATGAATGTGGGAAAATTTTTTACAATAAATCATACCTAACTAAACATAATAGAACACATACAGGGGAGAAACCCTATGAATGCAGTGAATGTGGAAAAACGTTTTGCCAGAAGTCACAGCTCACTCAGCATCAGAGAATTCACTTAGGGGAGAAGCCCTATAAATGTACTGCATGTGGGAAAGCTTTCTGCCATAAGTCAGCTCTAATTGTACACCAGAGAACCCATACAGAAGAAAAGCCCTATAAATGTAATGAATGTGGGAAGTCTTTCTGCGTGAAGTCAGGACTTATTTTACATCAAAGAAAACACACAGGAGAGAAGCCCTATGAATGTAATGAATGTGGGAAATCCTTTAGTCACAAATCATCCCTTACAGTACATCACAGGGCTCATACAGGGGAGAAATCTTGTGAGTGTAATGAATGTGGAAAAATATTTTATCGTAAATCAGACCTTGCTAAACATCAGAGATCACATACTGGGGAGAAGCCCTATGAATGTAAGGTATGTGGGAAAACCTTCTCTCAAAAGTCAAACCTCATTGTACATCAGAGGACACACACAGGAGAAAAATCTTATGAGATAAAATAAATATTTGAAATATTTAGCCACAAATCAGTTGACAATACAAAATATCAAAACTGCAGAAAGCTCTGTTGACATCCTAAATTATAGTAACCTTTATCCACAAATTGGCTTTACTTTATTCCAGAGTAATGATGGAGGATAAACTCAACAAATTTAGGATGGCCTTTGTTAAGAAATGACATCCTAAGGTAATGCTTATACAAAAACTCATAGATTCTTTTGAATTTTGAAAAATTTTTAGGTAAAATACAAACTAAATTATGTCAGAATTTATATTGAGAAATTTATGAATCTGAAAAATAAAATGAAATTTTACTTAGAAGTAACATAGTACTACAAGTTGTATTTTGAGTTTGATACCTTAATTGTCTTTAGAAAAGTAATTTATGCCTATATGTTGCAGAATATAAAACTTTAAAAAGCATATTTTAAGTACTAAAAAATGTATATTCACAAGAAGATTCAGTAAGAGTATAGAGAGAATTCCTTTGTGCTTTTAATCAGCCTTACTGTAATGATGATATGTTATATAACCACTGTATGTTCTATAATACAAGAGATTGGTATGCTAATCATATATAGACTTTATTCAGATTTTGCCAGTTTTTACATGTACCCTGTGTTTTCTATGTAGTTCTATTAAGATTTAACGTTAGGTTACAAAACTGAAAAGGAATCTGAGGTCTGTATGGCATCAGGATTATGCAGGATTAGGCATCAGGATTTAATCTCAAGAATTTTCCTCTTGTTAAAAATACTCTCCTTCTGCAACCATTGAATATTAATCTTTTGAAAGTATAGATCATTGAGTAATCTGGGCAGCAGGGTTAAACACATGTGAGAAGTGTTCCTAAAGTTTATAGACTTAATATGTGTCTAAGTGTTAAGGTATATAAGGTATGTATGTGTTTCATATGCATAATGGAACTTAATGTAATTTTGAAAAGGAAGTAGGTATCCTTTCCTTAGTGCTTGTTACATCAGGTCCATGTTCAATGTTTATAAAACCAGAATAACAGTTTAAATGAATGCCCACATAGCTAATGTCTAACCATTCAAAAACTACAGATCAAAATAAAGTGTTAACAAACGATTCCATGCATGAAGAGCTCTAGGCCCTACTCCATATCATTCCCTTTCTTTTCTCACCTAAATTTCATCCCATGCCATGGAGTGCCCTGGTATAAGTATGTAAACTCTTGTCCAAACCTTCTGTAAACAGCTGCCCAGCAAGATAGGGGCCATAAAAGAGGCCCACACATGTACACTAGATGCCACTCAGGGCTTGTTGGGCTGTAGATTCAGAAATCTGATATATACAGGTAGGAATCTGGGCCTTCAGAGACTTCTGACAGTATGAAGAGGAGGGTTGCAGCTGGAACAGGGCCTGAATGGAGCTAGAGTGGGGTTTTTTATTGGCAATGTAAAGGTCATATATTACTTATTATAATATAAAAGTTATATTACAGTCTAATAATCCTAAAGTACACATTGCCGCAGTCTGGCTGGGTACAATTCAGGAGCCACTTATCAAGCAGAAACGAACTTTATTTTTAGAACACACATGCCACACCACATGAGGTCTTCAGGAATTCCCTCAGAGCCCAACTGCCACCACCGGCTTCCCACAAGCCTCTCAACACCCCCACTCCTCCTGCTCTTGAGGCTGATTGGCTGGGTCTCGTGGGCGGAGCCAAAAAAAGTCCCCCAATGAGCAGCTCCATGGTCTGAAAGGGCAGGGAAACAGCCCAATGAGCATCACCGTAGAGGAGCCAATCAGCTGGCAGCTGGAAGTTTGCTGGGGCTGCTGTGAGCCAATCATCAGCTTGCAGCTGGAAGTTTGCTGGGGCCCCGTTGGCTGTGGCTCTCAACATCTCCCCCTCTCTGTTTAAACAACAAGCATGTGGCTTAGGGACTGTGCCTGCCTTAGGTTGTCCAGTACTACATATGGTCCTTACCCGTCATCGGATGAGCTGACCTCAAGGTGTCAGCCTCCTGTCTTAGGTTGGTACCATTGCAATTGGATCTTACCCGTCATTGACTACCGGTCCAGCATACAGCCACACCTGTGGATAGGTCTTTGTACCAGTGGGAGGGGGTGGGGTGAGGTTCTTTGCCTCACCTCTGTTGGCCCCCAAATTTTAGCTGAACGACCATCACAAGCAGAAGGGAGGAGGATACACCAAGCCAATTGATGGCTCCTTTTGGAAAAATTATACCACTGATGACACCATCAGCAAAAATACCCCAACACTACCACAAGTCGCTGCACCAACAGATGGTTCACAATGCATACAAGTGAGTTCACAATGCATACAAGTGATACATAATCCAGGCAAGTTTTGCAAGCAGTTCAGTGATAGCTATTGCAGAAGCTGTAGATTGGTTTTATCTTTGTCTTCACCGGCACTGGGATGAAGATAGGAATTCTGGCAATAATGGCTAAAGAAAAAATTATGTAACATTCCAGAAGGCACTAAAAGAAAACAATTTTCTGAACAATTTATATTATCTTGAACAGAATTATTAAATATAATGAAAAGGAAAGGTGAAAGTAAACAGATCTGTTAACCTCCTTTTTTGTTCACATATTAAACAATCCTCAACAGCTGTTTACCCAATTTAAATTAAACCATTTAAATCACATGAATAAAAAAAAATTTTGGATCCATTTTTTCATGAGCGCTCATCATGTATGATATATGGACATACGTACATACAAACATACAACACAAAACACAAGTGTGCACACATAATATAATACATACGACACATAATAGTAAAGGCCTTATAACTTTTTACAGGTGAAATCTCCATTGCAATGTTTAAAAACTCTATAGTCAAAAAATAGAACTGATCAGCAAAACATTAACCTAGGTCTGTATGAGCTCAAAAAACAAAATAGAACTTCATGATGTGGGAAAGGGCAATAATAAAATAGATATTGAAAAAAGCATCCTGGTTCTGTTGCAGATGTAAGGATAGCCAAACTGGAGTTCTGGATATAAGCTGTTATGGATTTGAGCCAAATCATCTTCTTTTTGGTCTGTAGAAATCGCTTTTCTGGAATCCATATCGGCTGCTGTTCTCCCTGTGGAAACACACAAACAGACCCCTGACTCCAGACAATCACTGGGTCAGGACCTTAGTTAATCTCTCTGGAATCCAAATCGGCTGCTGTTCTCCCTGTGGAAACACACAAACAGACCCCCGACTGCAGACAATTATTGGGTCAGGACCTTTCCATTGTCCTGTTAGAATATCCTTCCAAAGTACCTTGGGCTTATGTACATTTTTTGGACACATATGCCTTTCTGCAGCACTAAGCCCTGATGAATCCAAATTTAAAAAGTTTAGAGTAAAAAGCGTTATTTTAAGTTTATCTTTGGGGAATATATACCCCTTCCCAATTCCTTCTTTTTGCTTTAATAAGTACATTTTAATAGTTTGATGAGCTCTTTCAACTGTGCCTTGTCCCTGTGGATTATATGGGATTCCTGTTATATGAGTAATGCCAAATGATGAGCAAAATTGTTTAAAAGAGGTAGATAATGCCAGGGGCATTATCTGTTTTTAACTGTTTTGAAATGCCCACAGTGGCAAAATTTTGTAAGCTATAATATCTTTATTTTTTTCTCTGGCATGAAGGGAACCCATCAAAAATCCGGAAGAAGTATCAACTGTAACATGCAAATATTTTAATTTTCCAAATTCTGGCAAGTGTGTGACGTCCATCTGCCAAATATGGTTAGGTATCAGCCCTCTAGGATTGACTCCTCTAGAATTAACTTGTGGTAAAAAGGTCACAAAATTTTGACATTGTTTTATTATTTGTCTAGCTTGTTTCTTAGTTATTTTAAAATGCTTTTGTAAAGTATTAGCATTGACATGGAACTTTTTATGAAAATTTGTAGCTTCTTCTAGTGTAGAGAAAATATGTATGTCATGTATAGTTTTATCTGCTAAATCATTGCCCAAACTAAGGGCTCCAGGCAATCCTGTATGTGCCCTGATATGTCCTATAAAGAATGGATCTTTTCTGTCCCAGATTAGACTTTGTATAGTGGAAAGCAAAGAGAAAACAGTAGAGGAAGGGCAAATCCTACCAGCACCTTCAAGGAATACTATAGCATTAACTACATACTGACTATCGGAAAATAAATTAAATACAGAATCTTTAAATATCACAAAAGCTTGTTAAATACTGCATTAAGTTCTACCTTTTGAGCTGATTGTTTGGGTACTAAAAATGTAAAAGTTTGATCAGGTGTAACTATTGCTGCTGTACCATTATTTGACCCATCAGTGAATATATTTGGAGCATTCATGATACGTGTTTTTCTTGTAATTTTTGGAAAAAAATACAGGATGCAATGACCAAAAATACAATAAAGGATTAGATGGTAAGTGGTTATCAAATCACATAAACTAGTCTTCTGTCTTCTGAAACTAGAAAAAGAACAAATTAAATCCAGTATAACGGGAAAGAAAAGTAACATTGAAAGAAAAGCAATAAAACCAAGAAATGATTCTTTGAAAAACATCAAATCACTTGATAAATTTCTAGCCTAGTTAACTAATTTTAAAGAGAAGAGGCCAATTGCTAATATCTGAAATCGAAAGAGAGGCCATCCCATGGACATTCAGAGGATTATAAAGGAATATCATGGTCAGCTCTGCCCATAAATTGAATAACCTAGCTGAAATGGACCAATTCCTTTAAAAAGTTGTATTCTAACAAATTCATGAAGGGATAAACTTTGTGAAAGGATACATTTAAAAATTAAGCATATTGAAGAAAGTGAATCAATACTTAACAACCTCTCGGCACTGACAGTACTAAGACTGGATGGGTCCAATGGTAAAGTATACCAAACATGTAAGGTAGAAATGCTACCAATCTTAACAGCTTTTTACAGCATTTAACAACAGATGGGATGTTTCCTAACCCAATACATGTGGCCAGCATTACACTAATAGCCAAACCATATATGAAAGGAAAGGGGAACTACAGACCAATATTGGTCACAAATGTAGATGCAGAAGTTCTCATCAAAATATTGATTAATCAAATTCAACAATATATAAAAAGAATTGTATACCATGACCAATGAGGCAGGTTCAACATTCAGTGATCAATGTAACTTATATCAGTGGGCCAAAGATGAA